GTAGTATCTAACACACACATACACACACACACATATCCTCACAAACTTTCGCATTTATAATATTAGTTGGAGTATTTCATAAAAAAAAAATTAATTACATTTTTTTAGTATACATTGAATTTCTATGTTAGCTTTTCTATTGGTTTGACCTATAAAACATTGTGTTCCTTGGTATTCAATTTAAATCATAACTTGCTCAAAAGTAGTTACCACTTTAATACCTGCCTACTACCATTGTATCAGCAGTTGCTTACTTAGTTTAATCAATGTTTATTTACCTTAATTATTTATCTATTTAAATGCATGTTACACTTTTTATATGTATGTACTTATCAACAAAACGGTCGGTAAGATGACCCCTGTAACACAGGTTTTCCTAGCATGCAACTTTGACCAGTTGTTACCTACTTATTTCATGTAGGTATTAATAGTGCACTCATTGCTAGATCAGCCAGCGTAATAGGGAAGATGCCTAATTTTTATTTTACGTATTTTTTATTTTCTTACAGAAACGAGTAGGTACTTTCGACGATATATTGATTTGAAATGTCGTGACGTCACTTCTATGTACATTTTATACGTAGAAATGACGTTTTAGCCCTCATTCCTAAACTTTGATTCGTTTTATAACAAAATACGTGTCTAATATTTTTTCATTACATAACTTACGGACTAATTAGATTGTTAATTTTTATACCCTGTTATCATCCCAATTACATACTAAATATCTTATATACTATAACTTTTAATGTGTACTTCTTTGTTTTGAATAAACGATTTATTGTTATTATTACCTCCTGTCTATAAATGTCATGTATTCAAATAAATTTTTTTTTATGGCATAAGCCGGTAAACGAGCAGACGGATCACCTGATGGTAAGCACTCGGCGTCGCCCATGGACACCTGGAACACCAGAGGCGTTACCAGTGCGTTACCGGCTTTTTTCATCAGGAGTTTGAGGATCGTTGGGGATTCAGGGATTGGGATTGGGGAGATTGGGGAAGGGGAGGGTAATTGGGCCTCCAGTAACCTCACTCAAGACGAAACACAACGCAATCGTTGCTTCACGTCGGTTTTCCGTCAGGCCGTGGTATCACTCCGGTCGAGCCGGCCCATTCGTGCCGAAGCATGGCTCTCCCATATTTAAAAAAAATATAATGTCTATAAATAGCGCTCATACATTTTTCAGCAACAACAAGAGGAAGAAAGCTCCCTAAACGTCAGTGTGAACAGAACGACGATAATTAAAGCCAATCTCTTGTCCAAGTCCATGTCCACTCTGCTTCAAGAAGTCAATCAGACGAAAACTGAAGCTACCGAGGTCACCGTCGTTCAAGAAAAGAAGACTGCTAAAGATATACCTAGTCCTAAGAAATCTTATTCTATCTTCCAGGTAAGATAATTGTTCGATGTTTTTCAAATAATAATTTAAATGTATGTCTTACTAACGTGAACTCATGATGAAAGCTGTACTAGTTTCAAAGTCACATCTATTGTTGCGTAACGTTGCATGCGCTACGTCATCGCGCTGCACACGCTGCTAACGAATGTGACTTCCGATCTAACTTGAAACTAATAGAGCTTTCCTTTTGGAGCACAACGTGTTGCGAGTTCAATTCCTTCGCGCAACAACTACTTGCGTGTTCCATAAATTGTTGGGTAGGACAACATTTTGCATATATTAAGATATTGTTTTTTTTTATATTCCTTATCTCATAATATTATTCTATTTCAGCAAAGTTACCATGGATCATTACTAACGCGTGGTCAAGGAGCTCTCGCGCGACTAGCAGCGCTCGCAACGCCTTTAGCTACAGATGATGACTCTCCAAAAATAGGATCGCTAGCAACACATAGGCGAAACTTTGTCTTTACTTCTATAACCCCCGGCGAAGATGATGTACCAAAGGTGTGTATGAGAGTACAACATAATAATAATAAATGGTGTACTAGCTTTCAGCCGCGGCTATACTCGTGGCGAAAGGTAGCCTACGCCCTACTCCCAACTGTATGTATTCCATATTACTAGAAGTTTAGTTGAGTAAATAAAGCATAAAGAAAGTAACAGATCAACTTACTTTCGCATTTATAATATTAGTTGGAGTATCTATATAGCTAAGAGGTTCTCATTAAGGTTGGTTTTACAAGTTGGACAATAGGCATTGAGATTTTCGAAAATTCTCAATAATAGCACACAATCTAGAATTACGTAGATTATAATTACATAGAACTTACAACCGAACTAGGAAAAGTGGATTCGAGAAACAAAAAACGTTCCGATAAAAATAATGATTTATTGTTTGCAGGTGACGATAAAAAGGAAAGCTGACGCGCCACAAGGCACGCCGAAGTTGATGAAGAAACTGAAAATAGAAGAGAAAACCGGTCATACCAAAAGTAGTCTATTAGATCATTTCAAGCTATAGATTAATTGTTATCCTGAAACTAATGTTAGTGGATGTTTAACGAATGAAATTGATAGCCGGTCTCAATCCAAAATCTTAATTGATCTAGATTTTTGGCAGAAATTTATTGATGTCAAAAATCCAGAATATTTCATTGATATCGGTTATATTAATTTTAGCTGTAAATCTGTATATTGAAATTGTCTATTAGGATTATATTACTCTGGATTGTTCAAACAAATTATGACATATTTCTAGAATAAACCTTGAAATGTATCATAATAAATAACTTACTTTATTTAAGAACTAAATTGTGTTCAAGACTGAAGGTGCTTATGTAAAACGCGAACATTTGTTGTGAATTGTATTATTTGTGAGATAAATTAAAACTATGTGGAAAGGGAGACACACACCTAAAATATAGAATTTTATACTAGAACAGTTGACTGTAAAATATTAAATAAATGTAGCTATAGTAGTGTAAGTCGATAAATTAAATATAGAATAATAAATAAAGTTTATACAATTCAAATGATTATGCTTATTCTTGTTTTCAATGCGCTCCTGTTCTTATTTCCCGACATCTAGAATTTTTTTGGAAAAGTATATTACCAACTAATGCAAAAAAGTACTTTATTTTATGAGTGACATATTTGTAGAAGTGTAGAAAGGAGTTAATTACCTACTATTTGAAGAACTAATTCTTTCTAGCTCAGTAATATATTTGTGAAATAATTCAACTAAAGTGAGAAATGTGGAATAATAACGATTACAACGACGTAACACTCAACACAATAGAGTTGGCATAATTTACAGCTCAATGCTTTCATTGGACTTATTCTAATAACATAACATAACATCACGCCTTTTATCCCCGAAGAGGTAGGCAGAGGTGCACATTATGCCACTGTACAATGTAACACCCACTTTTCACTATTTATGTTATGAGTCCCATGTAATAGGGGGTGAGCCTATTGCCATATACCGGGCACAATTCCAGACTCCGTGCTACTACTGAGAATTTTGTAAAAACCCAGTAATACTTTGCCCGACCCGGGAATCGAACCCGAGACCCCTTGCCCGGCAATCGCACTTGCGACCACTCGGTCAACGAGGCAAACTAATTGAGTATTATTCTAATCCTCAATTAGTTTTAATATTAACCTATTGTTAACTTACTAATTTGACACCTGAACTGAGCACACTCTTAGACAAAAAAAATAAGTCTCTGGGTACACCTTACTCCTTATTTGCTTGATGTGAGAATTGAACCTGTGATAATAGGTAGTGTTCTACACTCTATGAACCTGTGATAATAGGTCTCAAATATTTTAGAATAGACAGATGATTCTTAAAAATATCCTTTTCTTTTGTACTGATCATAGTGATTATTTAATATCGTAGCAAAAGTCTAATGTAGAAAACATCAACACATCATCGCACAAAATTAGTTTAATTTTTCTTTTTTTGTAAACTAGAAATCACTGCTTTATTGACAAATGTGTGTAAGAATTTATGAATGTAGGTATGTAATTTGGATTATAAATACATACTTTAAAAAAATATTAAAACTAATCTAACAAAATTTTTGTTCCACAACATTCTAAATGTGCATCCAGCTCTGATGAATGCATGCACAATCTTATAACCACAATGCTTCATTTTCATTCCAATTTTTTGATTGATTGCTTTAATTTTTAAATATGGCAAAATAAGTGCGAAAATCTGGTAATAAAATATAGTTTCATAATGTTGGAGACATTGATATCAAGCATATCCTTCCGTTTGGCATCTCGTTTCTTCTTTTGTCCAGTAAGTTCATCTTTCTCACTCTTTAACCAATCAGCAACCTCAATACGCCGGCTATCTCTGTCAGCTGGTCGCGTTTTCTCCGGTGCTCTGTGTGGCGTTTCGTTCGCTCGCGACCGGCTCAATCAATGCTTTTTTTCTGTGCCGGAGAACTGTTTTTATTATAATTTAGTTATATTAGTCTAGTCAAATAAATCAGAAAAGTGCTTCGAATAAAACTACAGATAAAGTATTGAGATGGCGAGTGAAAATATTGATATCAGCGACATCGTCAAGAAATGCAGAGTTCTTTTGTTGGATATTGAAGGAACCACAACATCGATCAGCTTTGTTAAGGTAGGTCTAACGATTGACCGGCCGGTGTTTTGTCTTAACATGTGTTTTTCTGTAACTGTTGTTCATATAATATATATTTTATTCATAGTAATTTTTGCCAGCATTAAAACACATGATCCAACATGCAAAATGGTCGCAATTTTAGATTCGCAACATGGAGGACGAAATCAAAATGGTACCCCTTTTAAGTTCATTTCATTGTCTGAATTATCCACGTGTTCTTAACGTATTTATGCTTGTTACTATTATTCTTCTTACATATTCAATGTAAAATATTCATCCTTTTATTGCTTTACTTTTAAAGTAGGTACCTACCTATATACATTTATTGATTTATTTAACCGAAAGAGATGTAATAGTTGTATAGGTAAGCTTTCATTTCATCTTGTAGCTTAACTGTTTTCTAAAAACCTTATTTGAACTCTCATTTTGTTACTAGACAGTACGTCTTCAAGTCGGTCATGTTGCGTGCTATCACACCTACCGGCGTGAACAGCTGTTTCAAGCAGCTGGCTGTGGCTGGTAAAAAAATGTGGAACAATTAACTGTCCTCTTTCAATAGCATTGAGCCCATATAGGCTGGCCTTGTCGCACTCACGTCAAGAATATACATTCGTGAAAGAGACAAAAATAATAGAAGTGGAGTTTCGTTGGGAGCGTTACCTCGATATGGTTTCGAATTTAAGATTTTCTAATTAACACCTAAAACTCGAGTTTTTGATAATAATTACTTTGTTTACCTATTTGGTGTACTTGAGTAAAGAATAAACACATTACCTATCACAGGTACCTATGCAATACCTATCACTGGTAAAGCGAAGTAGGGAATTGTTTTATGAAAACCAAGTCAGGAAAGTGTGCGACATGTAATTGAAGACGGTATTATTTTTTTATTTAGGTATTTCTGGGTGTTCTGGTGTAGACTGGTTACCTGAATGCTAATCTTAATCTCCGCCTTTTCTTCGTACAAAATGAGGTTAACTTTTACGTGTAGGGTTATAGGGTTGTTACATTAGCGTGAATGAACATAGGTTTACAATAGTTAAATAAAATGTTTTTTATTTGATTTAGGTATCTATTAATTAACTAATACCCCTTTTGAATATAAGGTGCCTCGCCTACAATCGCACGACTCAACTCGTCATCAGCTGTTTACAGCTGATTCATGTGTTTTCCATTCATTTGGGTGTACGAGATCAAATGATTTGATCATTCTGGTTTTAAACCGTTAATAACTGTTTCATACGTAGCGATTTCTTGCAGTTTGTTATTTGAGTATCTACGGTGTTTTATGAGGTCATTTTGAACCCTAGAGTCTTCTAAAAATTCCCTACAGGTGGGACAGCTAAGGATCTTACATTAAGATCGACGACATTTTTTTCATTTTGTAGAAGATTGCACGTATCGTCTGTGGAATAATTGGAGCATGTCTTTGTATAACAATGCAATGTTGGGTATTATCTGTGCTGCGTCCCTACCGCGGGTGCCGCGGGCTGGGTCGCTCGGCTAGGTAGGCTCACTATCCGGTTTGGACACCGGCGGCAAGTCGCGCAGTTCGTTCACCCATGGACTTGCCGCATCGTAGACTATGCAGTTTCACCAGGGCATCGTGTTATGCAAAATTTTAGCCCATTGTGGGTATTTTTTAAATAGGCGTGTTATAAAGACTATCGGTAAACATGTAAACATCTGTTGTTGAGTACCTACCAACTGTCTATTTAAAGAGGAATGTGGGTACCTACTTGCCTAATAAGAATGCTGTAAACTTCCACTATTTGCTACTAAATCTATATTTTTTTGTACCTTGTAAAATAATTGCTAGCTGCTTCTAAAGGGTTTAAGTCCTTTCCCCGAACTGTTTAATGTGAAGGCTGGATAACTGGAGCTTATTTATTGCTCTTATTAGATGTCTGTACGACGAAAGGACCTATTACAAAACAGTACTTAGTACTGTAATATATAAACATATATCATTTTACTAAACTCTTGAATTACTTCAGATAGTTAGGAGATTTGTGTCGGTAGATCTCGATACCCAAATGTGAAATACATACCTATGTCTAATAGAAGGCAGGTCTTTTATAACGACCTCAGGCTGTAGCCTGTTGTAGTTGACTAGTGTACTAGTCAAGAACATCCGACAGAAATAGAGACCTTTGTTGGTTTCATTAACATCCAAGTACAATAATAATTATCCCAAAACTGCGACTATAGTGAATCTTTTTTGTAATAAACCACGATATTTCACGAATGGAAAGTCGTAAAAATAAAATTGACGAACCATTTTTAAGTCAGACTAAGTTGTATATATTAAAGGCATGATATACAACTTAGTCCTCCATATTTTTAAGATAAAACTTCCCGTTTTCGAGAAAAAATGACAAAACTAATTTTGTACATTTGACCTTAAATATTTTTTTAGGAATCATGGTATCGATGGGGACTTTGACTATTTGTATATAATAATTTAGTTAATGACTATTTGTATATAATAATTTAGTTAACGTCTCTGCCAATTTTCAGCTCTATGCTAATTATGTCCAGGTCGCGACTTATTTGTCTATTTTGACCTGGCTATTAAAAGATGTTTGTTCAGAAGTGGTCGTATTCTGGCTGACGGAAGATCAAGAGTGTTGGTTGTATTCATATTGGTAATAAAACTCAACATAGTACACTGGCAATCCATGTTTTTGTTATTACAGTCGAAAAGTATTAAAAACTGAAGTAGCTTTGTGAGAAAGTATCTCTTAAAGGTCGCAAATATTGTTTTAACAATATTATCAAGACAGCGCTTTTAATACGCAGAAAATGGAGTGCTGCCATATTCCACAAAGTACAGAAATAACAAGACCTTTAAACTTCAAAGGCTCATTGTTTCAGCTCTTAAAATGTTACTGAGGGAGGTTAACAACTTCACAGTTACTACCTATGTTTTAAATATCTAAGATCTATGTTTCAGAGGTTATGTTTTCGAGCAGAAATTGAGATTCAGTTATGGGACCAGCATGTATTTGTAATTCGTAGCGTATTTGAATAGAAATGATTGTATTGGTACTAGATGTAAACTATATACTTAATAATGGTGCCGTAGCCATGAACTGTGTGATCTAAATAATAAGGACCTAAGAATGTAAATGCCCACCGCAGTATAATATTATCAACGACATCATCTTTGTATTTTCATCTTATCTATTGACGTAATTCTCGGTTTCGATTACAACCAAACCATACTAACGTTGCAATTGGGTAACGATTTACGATCAAAGTTACGATTTGCATATCCTCGGTCTCAAGCTATGGAATTAACTCGTCGAGTAGGTACCGGTTTTGTAGACACAATTATAGAACAATAGGTTGCGGTCACCGGTGACCGCTTGGTGTTTGACAGTTTAATTCGATAAAATACCTGCGTTATCTCATAACGTACCTACCTATAGAGATTGATTGGCCAGTCAATATGCAGTCGCGTTGGTCCCGAGTGCGCCAGACGTACGGGGGGGCTGAGGGTGCTTTCAAAATGCGCCCCTATCGAAATACCTACCTACCTCTAAACATCCACCAAAATTAAGAAGACAGGCAGACTACGTATAACAACGAGCGTATGTAAAGTTACATTTACTTTGACAACTGTGATTTCTGTCATGGGATATGAAATCAAATCACGGAAAACGTGAATTATGGTGCTTTTGGGACTAATTCAGTTGCCTGTTGACGAAATACTCATTTGATGTTATTCGTTTCCTTTTATCTTTTACGTGGTTAATTTAGCCTTTTTCCTCCATATAACACCTTTTTCATTGCTGAGGTAGCACCAATTCTCAGCAGCAATGTGTATCTCTTGTAACTAATGCATAACAATACAGTATTGAATAGCAGGGGACTATAATATTGCTTTAGATTTTTTACAAGGCAATAATTCTATAAATTTTCTTTGCAATAACTTTGAAAACAGAAATAGTACTCTATGGTGATCAAATTCCCGATTCATTGTCGTTGATTGGCAATCTGATAAAGTTCCATAGTGCCATACCTCAGTTAAATTCTTGATTTTTTAATGAGCGTACGGACACTTACCGGCCACACTGTTGTTCTAAATTCATACCTCATTCTTTGCGTCCTAAAGTGAAATTGAGTGAAATACCTACGTAAAACAATAACATACAAGAATACGTATTGAAACTGATGAGAGCCTAACTGTCTCTTAAAACTGTGTAATCATTTTTATACTCTAAACAAATATTGATACTATAGCCATGAAAAATGGTTACGTTAAAAAAAAATAACACAAAAAATATACAAATAAATAACACTAGGCATTGACTCCTCTTTATTGTCTTCATCATTGAAAGAAGTCTTATTAAAAAAGTAGCACCTAGTTCAATTTTCTGCTCGTCATTGTTTTACTACTAAATAATAAAATATGGTAAGAAATATTCTCGGTTCGATATAATGTAAAATGTTGCATAATCCTAATCCAGCACGTCCTAAATTGAGAAACATATTCACGCTGATAAGTAGCTACTCGTAATCGTCACACAAATGCCAGTACGTTCACTAACTATACTTAAATGGATAAATGGTCAGACTGAAGTAAACAAGCCGTTTTTTCTATTGTTACAGGACAAGCTGTTTCCGTACGCAGAAGAAAATGTTAAAGATTTTCTAACCAACCAATGGGAGTCCGAAGATGTGAAGGAGGCAGTGACGGCGCTCAGGAAACTGGCGCTGGAAGACAAGGAGAATAGCGTGGACGGAGTAATCACCATTCCAGGAGAGGTAAGTTCATAATCTGATTTAATGAAGCACTTAGTTTCATCATTAACTCCTCTTTGTTACGTTTGCCTAGGCGTGGTCTTCTCTTTAGATGTTGGTTATTAACTGGTCAGTCGTCTACCCTGACAATAGTTCGTCCATTCTACGAATGTGACTGCGTCATTTCCACTTCAGCTTCATTCTAAGCATTATCAAACTTGAAGCAGCAATGCGCCGTTTAATTACATTTGTTTTTGTTCTATTGACATCTGATTCTGTAATATCCTATTGTTTACGTATTTAAATGAACTAAAGAATCGGTTTGCTCTTTGCTATTTACACTAGAAACTAGACGGACTAATCTAAGTAAATATTTCTAAAGAAAGAGTCTTGCAGAAACAGCAAGTCAAAAATTGATACTTAGCCAATATTCTTACACCATACTCATTACTCCAATCAACTAGTACAATTAATAAGATAAAGTACAGTCGTCTCCACATACTCTGAACTCCAATGAATGAAAGTGGCCTCATACAATAATGAATCATGTGTGTTCAAGCAATATGACTTCCTCACTTACCTTGATAAGTTCATTGAATAAATTAAAACTAATAGTTTACGTTTCAGCTATTCAAATAATCACATTCATTATTATTTTACGTCTCGGAAACGTGTTTTGGCGTAGCATTGACATTTCCCCTTTTTTATCAGCATAAGGTCAAGAACCTGATAGATATTACTATAATAAATGACTTTGATTTATTGATAGTGTACATTACAATGCTACGATTTTGTATTACCTATTATATTGAATGAATAGTTTTAAGGCAAGCTTGTCTTGTCAGATTAAGAGACCAGTTTAGGTTTGGGAGAACCAGAGCTTCGTCACGAATGGGCCAGCTACCACGGCCTCACAGAGAACCGACGTGAAAAAACACTTCCGTTGTGTTTCGTCGTGTGAGTGAGGTTACGGGAGACTAATTACCTCCCTCAAACAATATCCTCAATCCCCGAATCCCCACCAATTCTTAAAATTTCTAATCTCCAAAAGGCCAGTAGGTAACGCACTTGTGACACCTCAGATGTTTCGAGTATCCGTGGGCGTCGCCGATTGCTTGCGATGGCCGGTGATCCGTCTGCTCATTTATTGGCTTATTCTATAAAAGAGTTTTTTTTTAGAATTTCAGAGATGGATACGTAGACAAATTATATTATTGGTTCCGCTTGGTGTACATACATCAACAAAATTTAAACTGGCTAATACAATGGGTATTCGATGGGTATACTTCTGACTCGACTCGCGATACAAATAACTTGATGATATAAAAATCTGAAACGTCTAGAAAATACCTGGAAAATATTTTGCTAGTAGGAAATGATTTTAATTCAGTTAACAACCACCTTTGCCCTTTAGGGTGTGGCACCAGTACACGCTTCCGGCATTTTCCTTTAAGGAAAAGGCAGTAACACGAAATTAATTATATTTCACGTGTTATTCAACAAAGAGGAAAGGTTTTACATAAACGATTATACAAAAAATATTCAATGAAAAATCTCAATTTTTTTTCCAAACTGCACAGATTACACAGCTACCTACATGGTCATTTCCAATACCTAGTGTTGGATGGATGTTGGAACTGTGTTTTGGTACGGACACTCCTGCCTCACTTTTCTTTTCAACACACCTCCCGATCGATACGTGCCGCCTCAGAGGGGGTATCGCAAATGTCTACAATTTTGTGCAAAGCAAACATTATGTAGCGATGTAAGATATATTTAGAACTTACAAGTATAACATTCAATTCTAGAATAAATCCACAATTTGGATGTTCTACACTTACAAAAAACAACCTACTAGTTGGAGAATGAACATTGCATCCGAGGGAATTCAGTCGATTTCATCTATTATTCTTTACAAATGAATTTCAAATCGTTCTATTGGTCTAGTCCAGTGATACGGGGAGGTAGAGCATGAGTTTTTGGGAACAAGTCTAGCTGGTGGTCGATGGTACGATTATGAAAATCTTAGAAAGCTCCATGCTTAAATAATGTTAAGTGCTCGAGAAATGACTTTGCTTTCCGCCGTCACTGAAAAATCACTGAGAAACAAAAAAACGGGAGTCGTTGGAGATCGTTTCTTTTGACCATGTAAGAAAAATGTGTAATTGCAGCTTATTGCCAGTCGCAGGGCGGGATAGTATTTTTAGCTAACGGTTTATTGTTTTGCGTTTCAGGATGCCTCTAAGGAAGATCAGATTGAGGGGCTAGTGAAGAGTGTGAAGTGGCAGATGTCTTCCGACCGTAAAGCCGGCCCTCTGAAGCAGTTGCAGGGTCTTATCTGGAAGCAGGGGTATGACAAGGGAGACATCAAGGGACAGTAAGTTTTATACTTTTTAATATACCTATCTTAAGCTGCGTCTAGGTTAGGACTTAGGAGAGCCAAGCACGAGCGGACCACGAGCCGAACACACAAAGATGTTCTCGAATGCCGCAGCTGCAGGTACGTTGTATACGTCCACACTTGACGCAGGGAACAGCTCCGCTCGTGCTCGGTTCGTCTGCGTAGATCCGCCTTTAGGAAACATCTTCATCTTCAACTGGAAGACGACCACACTTGGACGTCGGCATGCTAAAAGATAATCCAGTGGTCACTGGACGCACGTGTGGTCAGTCCTTTCCTATTTCGTCAGTATCGATGGTAGTGGCCTATTGTAACTACTATCTTCTTCCAGCGGTTTCTCTCTCGAAAACCAAGCTTACCACGAGAATGTTTAGTCGAGTTATTATTCCAGACTATAAATCTAACTCAGTACCATCCAGAAATTCAGATGTTAAGCCATTCTGGCCTTGAGTACAAAAATGTGCGTGTGTCCGTTAAATAAATACATTAAGTAGACTTAAAATTTTTGAATACAATGATGAACTCTGGTCCTTTTTTCATTGAAGTTTTTTTTTATTTTATTTTAAATAATTTATTATGATAAACACCTTACGTATATTGTAAATTAAAATGTAAAAATAGAATACAATTGAAAATGACTGTCGCAGTGAATCAATTTTCAATACTTAATAATTAATAATGCTAAAATTAAGAAATTGAATATAACAAAGTATTTACCATAATGTTGTGTGCAAAGACGATGCTGTGAATAACGTTTGAATAATGTTTTTCGTAAATATGTTGTTGAACCATGTCGAAATTCTTAATGGAAACTTTAAAGCAACCTCTGTAACAATCATTGATGTATAAAATACAAAATATGTGAAAACAATACAGCCAAATGAATTCTTATTTCAGTTGTGTGAGCGTAATTTTCTTGAATATTCCAGTGTGTACGATGATGTGTCTCCCGCGATGGACTTGTGGCGCTCTGTGGAAGGCCAAAAGATCTACATCTACTCGTCTGGATCAGTCCAGGCGCAGAAACTTCTCTTCGGCCAGTCCCAGGCTGGAGACATGTTAAAGTACATTGACGGACATTTCGACACCGCTGTCGGTGCAAAACAAGAGACTTCGAGCTACACTGCCATTGCTGAGAAAATCGGTTGCAAGCCAGAAGAAGTTCTGTTTTTAACCGACATTGTGAAAGGTATGTTGTTCTTTATAAAATTTATAAGAGCAATGTCATTTCACCTGGTTTGCATAGTGCTTGATATTTGAATTATATTTGCACTTGCCATTAATATATATCTTATGCTGCAATTAGAACACACTCATTCAAATATTTCAAGCACAACCTATCATTCCTTTTTATCATAGTTATAATTTAGCAGTCTTTACCCCTCCTAAGATCATCTAAGCTTTGTACACTTGTAACATTGCAATAAAGAAGGCTGGTTCCAAGTCAGTTATTCATGATTGTTGTTAAAATTGAAGCGACGTGTTGATCATCAGAGGCGGAGGCCGCGCGTGCGTGTGGCATGCACTGCGCGCTGGTGAGCCGCGAGGGGAACGCGGCGCTCCCAGACGAGGCCGTGGCGGCCTTCCCGGTGCTGTACAGCCTGGCCACCCTCGCCAACCCCAACAAGCGCAAGCCCGACGCCCAGGTGCCCCTCCGATGATACCCGATACCCGCCATAGCACGCCTAATGCATGCACTCTGTAGTTATTTCTCTGTGTAGACGACCAGACGCGACTCGCCGCTCTACTGCAGGTGAGTACGTGTGTAGATGGTTCTGGTTGTTGTAATGGTTTCTGTGCACAGTACAGATCATTTTTGTTAAGTATTTTATACAATTTGATAAATTATGAATTCTTTATTGCTTATCATAGTTTGTATTTCAGTTTAATATTTCAACTAAAGACTGTCTGGCTCTACAAAGTGACGTATTCTGTACCTCCAAATACAAATCAAATACAATCATTTATTGGTTTGTTACATAAAACAAATTAATCTTCCTGCTTAGTATTGAAGGTAGTAAAAGTAATACAAGTTTATATCATTGATAGTGGTTTAGTTGTTTCTGAATCTCTGCACAGAAAGTATTACGCTTTTATATGCTTCTGGCATAGGCTGTGTATATGTTAAGATTTATAGTTTATTTTGTTAGTTACGTAAACATTAATGGCAATAATAAAGTATTAAGCAAAATATTTTCCGTGTTTCAAATTATTCTCACCTCTCTCTATAGACTAATTTTCCATAGTACTGAATAGTATAGGTTCCTAGGTTCACTTGAAAATATACTAAACAGTGTTATATGTTATCTTTATTATGTTTAATTAATGGTTGTCTGAATTTCGCTTTGGTGACGGTTCCTAAATATTATAATGCTTACCGTGTGGTCAATCTATGATTTTGTTTATTCTTTCTTAGTAGATGTTGGTTTGATTAAAATAACATACTGTGTCTTTTCTTGGTAATTCTTACTTTGTTATGTGATGGATAAAGAGGATGAGCATGTTATAAATTATAATACAAGTATTATTCTTGTCTCCTATAAATTGGCGAATTGTAAAGGAATCTGAGTTTATGCTGTTTTCTTGGCTCTATTTGTTGAAAGTACTAATTGAATTGGTCAAGCCTTTATTACTCTTGACTGTTTTGTGGAGCTCGTAATGTTTTTACATTACACAATTTTATTTTTTAACAATCTAAACTAGTAAGTACTACAAACACCATTGTATTGTGTGTAAGTGTTACTAATTTTGTTTATTTATGTAATTACAGGATGACCAACCTGCGAAAGTTCTGAAAACCGATGTGGATGCCGATGTAAAAACACCTTCGGAAAAAACAGAAGTTGCTGCCGAAGTTAAAGAGTCTACTGAAGCGGCGGCGTCTGAAGAAGTAAAACCATCCGCAGAACCTGAAGTACTCACTGAGGAGAAAGCACCTGAAAGCGACACGTCAGCTAAACTAGAACCTGTGCCTGTCAATGGTAATTCTGATGCTACTGTTGCAGAGCCAGAGGCACCAAAACCAGCTGGCGAACCAGAAAAAATGGACGTTGAAATGGAAGTTGATGAACCTGCTCTCGGTACGCAGGACAAAGCGTGTCAAGCTACTGAAAAAGTTGAAACCACCGTTGAAGAAATTACGGATGCAAATGAAATAGAAGCCACCCCTGCTTGTGACGTTGAACCCATCATTGAGGAGAGTAGTGAAAAGACTGAAAACACAGAGACTGACAAAATGGAGACAGAATCTGTTCCTGAGCCAAAAGAAAACGATGCTGAACGACTTAAAAATGGACATAAGGATACTCCTGTTGCAGAAGAAACTCCACCAACCTCTGTTATTACAGAAATCAAGGATGTCACTAACGACAAAGAGGAGCTGAACGAGGTTACTGAAATGATTGAAGACATCGAACCCGTTGTCGAGGAACCTCCAGCTACCCAGGATATGGAAGATCTGCAGAATGTTGGGGAAGTACTCGAGAAAGAATGTGACGAAATATTATCGAAGGTTCAGGATGTCACTAATTTGGATAACATACCTATTAAACCTTTACTAAACACTATTGCTGAAGAAACGATGGAGACTGAAAATACTGATTCAAATGATATAGTTGAGAGAATATTGGACACTGAAATGGAAATGGAATCAAAGAAAACTGCAGAGAAAACCACTAATACTTCAGAAGAGTCTGTAGAGAGCAAGGTTGAACCTGAAGCTCCAGCTGATAAAAATGATAAACAAGAAACAAAAACAGAAGATAAGGGCACTACAACTGAAATGTCTGATGATAAGCCAAAAGAAGAAGTAGCTGAAATTAAAACAACAGAAGAAAATGTAGATAGTAGTAGTCCTAAGACTACAGAAACGGAAGAAGCCACTATGGTGGTAGAAGAAAACGAAACGAAACCAGTAGATAAAGTTGAAAATAAGACGGAAGAAGATAGTACCACGCCTAAATCCGAAACAGAAGAAAGCAAAACTGTAGTAGCGGAAGTTGAGGCTGAAACAGTAGTAGCTGAAACAAAGGTAGACACAGAAGAAAAGAAAGTAGTTGACGATAAACTAGAGGCAGAAAAAGTAGAGCCACCCACAGAACAAACTAAGGCAGAAACAGATACCCCAGCAGAGCTTAAGGAGAGCGAGAAAGTTAATGAAGAAGCCAAGCCTGATAGTGAACCAAAAGAACAAACCGAAGCGCAAGTAAACGGCAAAGCTACCAATGGAGATGCTGAAGTCGCAAATCAGAATGGAGATGCCAGCAAAGAGGCTGAATTAAGTGCTCGGCTGTCAATGGAAAATGGAAAAGAGGTGAATGGTGCAAACGGTGACTCTGTGAAGGAGGAGGAACCGAAAACTGAAAAGAGTGCCGAAGTAGAAGTATCTGATATCAAAGTAAAGAACGTCGCCGTCGACGAGACGCGCAGTGACCCAATAGAGCAGCCCACGGAAGCATAAGATTGTACGGTGAGTTTCATTTTTATAAACTTCAATCTATTTAAAGATAGATTCATTATTCGACTGAGGGTCAGAGCATGACAAGTTTTGAATAGTAAATGTAACGATATAAGTAATTAAAAATGTTTTTTCTAGTTATTTAGTTTAATGCTATTTGATACTTGCTCCTATTCTCTCGTCTTAGCACCAAGTTGTTCATTAGAAATACATAATCCTGTAGAATTAATAATGTGTATAGTAAATACTGCATAAATGTGTCACTTCCAGAGTCGGACGAGTGGAACTGCAGGGCGTCGTAGCGTTGTTGGTTCACATCAGAAGATTGACAAGACTGAGGTTGCTTCCACGCTAAATGACATCACTTCCTAGTTTATATGTGTATTGAAATTTCACTGTGTACCGCGCGGTGGCGGCCAGTGTGCAGCTCGGGCCAGGATATATACGTCACTAGCACTAACTAGTAGGTGGAGTACGCCCACGACTTGTCAGGAACTTACTCAACAAATTACCTTAAATTGTACTTAGGTAACTTAGTATCAATAGTTTATATGATGCCCCAAGGTTCATTACTTAATTACGCTACAATATCGAACTTGACAAGTCTAATGTGTATATTTTTATTGCTGTACCATTACCATTGCATCTTATTGTATCAGATCTGCAAGTCTGATAGTAATATCGGCTTTTTGTATTAGTGAGGGCACTGCGACTTCCTGCTTCGTTAAGATGCAGTGCGTACTGGTGATGTGTCTACACGTAAGTTTAATTTTGCTATAAGTAAAGTTATGAATGTAAGTCACATAGATGTAAGATCGAAACTTTTATTATTAGACATTCCTGTAAGCGTACAATATATGTGGTAGTATTTTACTGAACTTCTTGCATAATTTCTTGGTTTTGGTACGTAAGGGCCAAATGGTGCTTTATACGAGTTGCCAGACCATGCACTATATGCTATTCCATTTTTTCTGTATTATCGTATTCGATTGGGTAGGGATCTAGTAAGATATAATAACTATAGAATTTTCTACTTTTATCGATGTTGTGCTGTATTACCTAGCGCACATGATCGTTTGATACAGGTAAAGCTCGCCGGTTTTTAGATGTAAACATTTTAGTAAGCTGCGGCGCGCCTTTAGTCGTAGGAACATTTTTGTATATGTGTCGAGGATGTAACTAAGTTGAGTCTTGTCACATCCCGCGGAGCCAGGCGCGCTCGCCACCGGCCCAGCTGCGCACACTGTCCGTCACCGCTTATCATATTTGATCTAAGTAAGTTCTATTCATAAGTATTAACTGTATTGTGATTCTTAATTATCGTATATGTATTACTCAATTTCTTAAACCTACTGCCAAACCTGTCCAGACCGTGGTCGTTGGTGCCCGAACCACTGGTGTTATTGTGATATTGAACATGACGACGAGACTGGATTGTTCGACGGGCTGTGTAAAGTATTTATTGTGTCGGGAGGCGGGTGCGGGAAGCATGTGTATAGTTGGTGGTAATTATTATTTATTTAGGCATTGTAAAACTTGCTGTATATAAAGTTCTATAATCTACGGATGAACAAATTCTTCACAATACGTATTAAAATGTTGGTCTGCAATTAATGTTAAGATTAGGCGCTTATTTTTGCTATGTACCTTTAAAAGGGTTAGACGAGAGTTGCGTGCATGCATTTTTTTATCTTGTGTTGTGGTGTTTATATGGTGCAGATACCTCAAGGTTGTGTTTTTCTTTGCTTTACTGAATCTAATTACTGCTCTATCATTGTACTATCCCATCATTTTGAAGAAGCTTTAATTGCATGTTTAAGGAAAATGCCAAACGAAATTGACTGAGAATTTTACAGAACTAGTCTTATTTGGAATCTCGGTATAGTTTTGGCTAATTTTACAAATTGACTGAATTTTAACCATCGGTAGGTACTATTCTTTATTTATAAGTTATATTTTGTTCCTGTGTTAGTTATGTAAGGCCGAAACTGATGTTAGTACAGTATTGTTGCGGCTTGGGGACCAACGGCGAACGATCGGACAGGCATCTTCGTTTAGACTGATTTTTTACTATTCAAACTTCTGTGTTCACTCAGTATCTGCACAATGAAGCTACACGTAACTAGTGTTTCACTCTGTAAGATAATGGATGAGCATACGATAACTTAACAAATAAGAAAAACTGACATTTATTGAGTTCGTACATTTTATTGTAAAAATAAAAAAGAAATCTCAACTGCGATTGAAATGTATTAATTTTAATTGTCACAACTAATGACGATAAAATATAATGGATGTAGAATTTTTTATTGGTTTTTTATTTTTTGATTGTTTTGTGTTTATGAGTAACCCGAAATACCTGATTGGGTAGAGGGAGTGCAAGTGTACGTGCCGCAACGGTCGCAACACATGGGATTGTATACGAGATGTTTCAACTGTAGCTCTGCGCTGAGCAAACGTACCAACAAGCACACGTCAGGCGTAATAAAAGAATTTCGAAAATCACCTCTACTGCTTTCGAAATAAAGGCGTCAAGGCTACATACATGACGTGTGGTTGATTGTACTACCTACCTAATGTTGCAAACTTATTGAAGTAGATAACAAGTAATAACATCATTATACTCACGAGATTTTTTCAATAAAGTACATTTTATCTATGAAATTAGACCAAAACAGTTTTTTTTTTTTCATAATTTGTATACCTCATTCACAACCTAACACCACATAGAATAGAACACATTGAGCATTAACATAATTAAAATCCCCGATCCCCTAAAAATAATAAAAAGTAGAATGACTGCTAAAATACTAGCGATTAGTTTAATATTGAACACACTTGGAAAAGTTTTCTAAATATATATTTTTTTTATCAATTTAGTAGGTAGGTAATTTCCTTTATTATTAAAAAACAATAATTTTCTTTGTGACAAAAATGATCCAGTCAAAAAGTGTAACGGAAGGTCATAATCAGTGAAGCAAATTCGGCACAAGCGAGTAGAGGAGGCGAGCGGAGCGGGCTGGCGAGGTGATGTGGAGGTTATGAATACAAAAGGTATAGAAACCAACAGCATTGCGGTCGAGGAACGGAACGCCGCCGCACGAACGCCGGGGTCCTATTCTTATAGCCACACTCAATACACCGACTCGCCAATAATATTCCATTCCCATGAAATACTAACTGTACAACTGCTAGTGCCTATTCTGTTCGTCCGCATTCATTACATGTCGTAAATGTACGAATCAAATAAAACATAAATTGAAGTTGTTAAAACTAAAATTACCTAGGTTTAACGGACTATAGGTAGTCTGGAGGTAGGTAATGTTTATTCTGCTAGTGTTAGTAAAGCCATTGATTGGTTAGATATTAAAATGGTTCATTTATTTAAAATGGGTGACAGGCGCTGATGCCTTCTGAATTCTTGAGCTGTAGAATTACACATTTTACTATCGATTAAATCCAAACGTAGGTACGTAGGTATGCTACCTAGAAGCTTTTGAATTTCGCATCTTTCGAGTCGTACTCATGCAGGTAAACGACTCTTCATGAGTTTATCACCTATATAGGTACTTTATGACTTTATGAATGTGTTGTTGGTAACGGTACATTATAAGAATATGTCGTTAAGAATCAGCTGAGCTTTAAAAATATACTATGGACAAAATTAAAGTATATTGTGTTCCGTTCCTGGTTTTGATTTTCTGCAAAAATCACCAAGAGGACATAAGAAAGACAACAAATCCAGTAGAAGGAATAATGAGACCTATTGTTCTCAAGCAACGTGAGATATTATTCCACGCAGTGTTGGTAATAGCCGCCGCCGGACGCACGGTGACGTCAAGGATTCTTGTGCACGCTCAGCCCGGTGGCTCTGAATCACGCGCCGATGTGTCACCGCCGACGCCCGCCATACGGCCACCACGCTCAACTACTTACAATGTCCATACCATGCCACATTATGAATGTACTTGGAACCAATTCACTACGACTAGAACAGCACCTACTCTTATCAAGCGTCAAACGAATGCGGGTAGGCCAATAAAGATATTAACAATATCGTGTGTGCGCTCTGAAGCAATCTCACTCGAGTTACCGAGTTATTAAGTACTTAACTATTTACTTTTACTATCATAACTTACAAGATTTTCATAACTACGTTAAAGTAATTAAATGAGGGTAGATTTTCATACACGTGGCGGTCCAACCTTGTGGAATATCACCTTGTTTTGATTGTATGCTACGAGCTCGCAAAACATTTCAAGGAAATCAACTGGTTTGACTTGCTTTTGGCAAGAGATGGCCTGTGTGTATGTAGTTAATTTCTAATAACTAATTCTAGTATTCCGCTATGTTATGGACTAGTATTTGTTATTAAGTCGCATTGGATCATACAATCACACAACAATGGAATTTAGTATGAATATAAAGTTCTGTAAATGATAAAGCGTTGCTTCGTGAATAAAAATGAGTGGACAGCAAGTAGTGTGTCAGTGTGGAGCAACCGGTACGCAGCCGTGGTCTCCGGCGCGGGCCGGTCGCTCGGTCGCTCGGTCGCTCGGCTGACTTGTATTTTTATGTAACTTGTTGTTAGGTAGCGCTGGTCGTTGCGCCACGGTCCGCTCGCCGCCAGCCGACTCACTGCTGTGGCGAATGAATTTGAGGAAAACTGGGCTGCGATAGAGAGAACATTGCCGTTCACATTGCTGGCTCTCGCTGGAAACTATTTTATAACGCGCAGTATTTGCGTTCATCATGCGTTGAGTTTCTTTTTTATGCTTTGCCTGTTGGGAAGTCTGAATAGGACTGTTGGCACAATAAATATGACAAACAACTGTGTATTATTGAAGATTAAAGACCAGATTTCTAGTCCGACTTAGTTCATACCTCCGATTATCCAACTTACCCAGGTTGCACATGATTCGATCTTGGTGGGAATATTCTCTCACAATAACACATAAATAGTATTATGAGGGTTTTCAAAATACCAATAAGCATTTGCCTATTTTTATCAACTTGTTATGTTGCGTATAAATGTAGCTAGGTACCTAGTAGGTTTTAGTTCTCGTACTTACTTACATTCATACCTAGATGGTACGTAACCTAAATCTACTATGTCCTTATAATAATTACTAACAACCAGGATAGTGCAAGATAAATCCAATTTTATGTAAGCAATTTCTATCAATTAACTTATTTCGTAACAAGCGCTACGTAACACCCTAGTAAAAGCTTAAAAGAATGAAGGAGTAGTATCTATAGACTAAGGCATTTAATAATTAGCCGGTAGAAAATAAATAAAACGTGTAATGTGTTCGATTGGCTGGCTGGGAAACAAATTCCCGCCATTCGGACACCGAGCTCAATTGGTACGCGTAAACATGTTTATGAGCCCACAGTCCACTCTTTGACATCCTCTGGAGCGTTTATTGAAATAATCTATTTATACACACTCGTATATATGCATATTTGTCTACTGCATTTAACGAGCCAAAAGCAATGCAATGATGTTACTATTTTTTTTACGTTTATACGAATCGAGTTGTTTCACTTCAATGTTACTGCTTTTGGATTTTCCGTCCAATAGAATAAGTTTATAATGCTAAACTGACTGCTTCAATTAGCAAGCAGTTAAAAGTGCGACCGCTAAGTCCAAAGTCCTATGTTCGAAATGGATGTGGTACTTGTGATCCCTAAACGTAAATGTAACTATAATTAAAATGCTGAAGCATCTATGAAAGAAGAACAAGATAGAAATTCTATAGATACAACTTTTCCAGAAGACTGATGTTTGCATATCCCTTCGACAATGAGAGGTAGGTACAATATGAGTGAATAGGTTGCTTATGGGTCGACGTGTTCCATCGTAGGCCACATCATCGCTTACCGCCAGGCGAGATAGTGGTCAAACGTTAGTCCCATCTAATATAAAAGAATGGACAGATTAACTCGTCGAGTACCGGTTTTGTAGACACAATTATAGAACAATAGGTTGCGGTCACCGGTGACCGCTTGGTATTTGACAGTTTAAGTACTTAGTTTTGTTGTTATAAAAATTAACATAATTTTACTTAAGCAATAGTACGTAGGTACCTAAGTATATTACATTTACAGAATTTGAATTTAGACAATATATTGTATTTCTAAAATAAAAATAGGTTTATACGTACCTATATAGAAAATGAAACAAAAAGGCAAAACCTCTTATTACTACAAGTTTCGGTCGTAGTTCACGTTCTATACTAACAAATACAAATGTGGAGGTTTCTACACGATTCTACGTGGGTATACATAATTAGCATACCGTTTTTTCATTCATTTGTTTAAGAAAATATCAAAAACCCAACCACATTACGATACCTACCTACCTAGCTTTCTAAGTAATAATTCAGCTCGATCAATGAACTTGAACTTCTATACTACGTTCCAAAGGCGTACTTTCGTCTAAAAAACCTATGAAATGGTCTTACATAAGAGCTACGTAAAAATGTCTACCAGACCAACAGCTGACATAAGTGGTCGGGACGTCGCAAGGAATTTTCAGTTTCAACGAAAATGTTGTAATTTCTGAGAACGGCCTTGACATCACATTACTACAGAATTATTCAATAGAACATTTGAAAATGAATTTTATGAATATCCAACAGTATTGTAAATAAGGATTATTGAAAGGGTGTTGAACTATGATAGAATGTTTTACGTAAGTAAATACATATATTGAAAAACATTACCCTCCTTCTTGCGCAGTCGTGTAATAACTTTTTATAAAGTTATCAATAATAATTAATAGTACTTACTATATATTTTATCCGCGCGATATTTTCCCACGGCACGTTGTACAAGTCACAGTTACCGGCTCGTTTTACCCCCATTTCAGCCAGTTTTCGTTTCATATCTCATAAAAAGTCCTGATGTGTTGCGCGATTACATTTGTAACACAAACAAATAAAGTTGATCGTTCACGCTTGCGTATGAAGATTATGAATTTTATAAGACAAGTATCAAAATGATTTTGGTGTCGTAGACATAGATAGAGAGTTTAAGTTCGTCATGTTGGTAATGTTTAATGTGCAGTACAATTGCAATAGGTGTTAACGGCTTAGGGTCTGATGCGCCGCGTCGTGTCCCCGGTACCCTTGGCCGTCAGTGGCCCGCCGCCCTCAGCGCCGCGACCCCTGCGCCCTCCGATGCCCTCTCGTCCTTGCACACCCTCTCTGCGTTCATCTAGCTATTGTGACGCTGCTATCGCTCACAATTACTCTTAACGTTGCAAATCCAACATTTTCTTTTATAAGAAGAATTTTGTATTT